AAACGAAGAAGAAGAAGAAAAACCCGAAGAAGTAGAAGAAGAAGAAGGCCTGGCAGTTGCTTCGTCTTCAACGCTCAGAAAAATGTCGTTTATATGTTGTAAATATTTTTGTTTTGTGTTGATAGCTTTTGTGAAAAGAGGCTAGTAAGAACATTACTCGAGCAATGAAAGTTTTTGTTTCGATCATATATTTATTTCTGAGAGCTTTCTTCTTGCAAACACTCTTCTCTTTTTTATGTATGTATCTATGTATGTATACATACATACATACATACATACATATGGTATACTTTTTACTAGCATTTTGCTTATTCTCTCCAAGAGAGTTTTTCGCTCGTCTTATTGGAGTGTTTTTGGCTCGTCCAACTGGAGAGGAGCTTCTTTCGCTTGTCCCGAATGAGAGAGTCTTTCACCCATCCTGCTAAGGAGTTTTTGTTTGTCAGGTAAGAGAGTATTTCACTCATCCCTTATGAGAGTATTTCACTCATCCCATAGAAGAGTCTTTCACTCGTCTCGTAGGAGAGTATTTCGCTCGTTCAATAAGAGAGACTTTCGCTCATCCCATAGGAGTCCTTCACTCGTCCTGCAGGAGAGTATTTTGCTCTTCCTGTAGGAGAGTCTTTCGCATTAATCAGAGTGTTTTGATCGTAATTAACCATTTTGATCATTTTTTAGTTCCCTGAGTGTTAAAATTTTAAAAATCCTTAAGAGTGCTATTTCATATACAATTATGTAAAATCTTTCCAAATAATATCTTATATTGAAAGAATATAGACTTATAAATATTCTGCAACAAAATTTACTTGAGTAATAAAAAGTTGATACAAGGAAAAATTTTCTTTAATTCATCGCCACTCCATGTCTTGGGAAGTTCTTTCCCGGTGTAAGTCTTTAGTTTATAGGCTTCATGAGAAATTTGTTAGTTAATGATGTATGGTCCACTCTAAGTGTGATGAGTGATCCAGGGTCCACTCTAAGTGTGATGAGTGATCCAGGGACTTGGTGTCATGACTCTTTTAGAGAGTCGCAGTGTCAAGGCTTACCCGATAATTTTATTTCTCATTGTCACATAATGGTTGCTTCATGCACATTATAATGTAACCATGGATTTCTATGTCAATTAGTCAAGTTTGGTTATGTTGAACAACCTTAGATTCTTAAACTTTATATGTTAATGGCTTAGGGGTTTTCACCCCAGATTACTCATTGCACTCCTTTGTGGAGATGACAATCTTCACTATTTGACTAACTCACTAGTTGGGTTATGTTGTGTTGAATGGGTTAAACCCCAACTCTTATTAGTTTGGGGCTTGGAGATTTCTATCATGTATTGTTTATTGCAAACCTTAGTGGGAGTGATGGTTTATCATCCTTTTTTTTACCATATCAGTCAAATTCATAGTTTTTTTGTTGTGATTAGATAAATTTGCTATAAATTTGATCATTTTTTTCACCTTTTTATCCACATGTGTATAGAAAAGATACTCGAGTCTTGCCACCAACTAGAATTAGGAATTGCATTAGGTGTCAATGTGTCAACACAATCTACCATCCAATCTAAAGATCAAAGTGGATGGCACCTAGGCTTTGCTTCAGCAAAGCTACGACATTAACCCTTTTCTCTCTAAATTATAAGATCAGAATTGCATTGTTTTTATCATTGAATTGCCATGCTCCCCCTTTGATTTAAGATTTACATGTGCATGTGTGAATGAATATTTTCATAGTAGATTCAATTGTCTTATTTTAGGGTGGTCACTCGTCTGTTATGTATTTTAGGTGGGTGTTGCGTATGTGTGTGTGAGTGCAACTTGTTCATTACATCACATAATGTGTTTTAAGTTTGTGTGTGCATTGAAATGCATCTATGCATTTGATTTTGTCCAAGTAAAATACATTTTTTTTTCATATAAGCTTGGATTTGTAAGTAAGAACTTTAATGGCACAATTCTACTAGAAATTTAGAATTGACCTATAATGATCATAATAAAACAAGCATCACATGTTGGCTTGTCAAAGGAAGCTATGTGAATTATCCTATTTGTATTATATCCTTTCGGATTGTTCCAAGCCTCGAAGTGACCAATATTCATTACCGATGTGGTAGAAATTAGTCCATTTGGATGCTTTAGATGGGGCCAGACTTGGTGACCCCACTAAGACCTTATGCGAACATCTTTAGCCCCTACTCTTCACGATTTGTTTAGATGATGGGTAGGCAACACCTTATTGATTTTTGCTTAAAACTAGGGTTAAGGAGTAGTTATGATTTTTATATGCACACATATAGTTTAGGTTTTATATGCTAGATGTTGCATTTTGTTTGTTATTTTTGGTATTTATTGAGTTTGAGACATGCACACTAATATATTAGAAGTGGTCTTTTTGCAGGTAGCCATATACAAACTGGAGGAGCTTAACTTATAAATATTTAAACTAAAACATTTTCTATAGGTGTTTCTTAGCTCTCCTCTGATTTTAAATAGTTCATTATCATGTTACATGCACTAATATTTTCTTTTGTATTTCGAGTCTTTCTTGTAGATATTCACATGTATTTTTATAGTTTTAAGCTGATTATATACTATAAATATGGTACAAGTACAAGTCCCCATGAAGCTTAACATGCGAGACCATATGACAAAGATCAAAAGTGGTTTGCTCGTGTCTCGTACCTCAATTTTAGATTTCATTTATTATATAAACTTAGAATAAACTACGTATATACGGAGTCTGACCTCTATTTTGACCTTCTAGGATATATTACCAGCCTAGTGACACTTGACCTATTATTTGTTCTTTTTATTGGAGTGTTTAATTGTATGCAATATGTTGTTATTCACTCTTTTCTAGTGTATAATTTCTTTGGGATCATAATTACATGTAGGTTCCTAGGATAAAACTCTTTCAAAAATTTTAATTAAAAATTATCTTAGAAAAATTTAGAATTAAAATTAATTTTTTTTAAATCAACACTTTACTTTCTTGCATGACCCTCTAGGCTTGTTTTAAAATAGATTTGCATTGCATGTCTATCTTCTAAATCATATTAATATGGCCTTCACAATTAAGGATTTAGATATTTTTATCATATACATATCTTGCAGAGAAACAACCTTTTTCTCCAATCTAACTGGCTTAGAATAGTTTCTTTGCATACATGGTTGTCTAGTTTGCTTATGGTGTTATAAGCTTTCCCAACCCAAACAAGGTTATAAGTTCTTTGTAGGGTGGGTCGGTTTTATCGACTGAATTCTCATTCACTTTTTCCACTGTGTGGGCTTTCTGGCCATACCTTGAAACTTACTTTTTTTTCGGGTAAAGTCATAAGATTCTAGACGTTTCTTTCATGTGACTTTTGACAATTGGGCTACTTTGGACTACACAACGCATGAGTTGCTGACAATTAGTTCACTATCATGTTGGTTTGACTACTTCCACAAATTAGTGAACTTAGGGTTTTAATAGTCGGGAATGATAGATTTATTGAGTTCCAACTAGGCTATTTCTTTCTGTCTAGAGATTCCTCACCTGCATGTTGATAACACAATGACCTTTCGTTGTTAAGTCTTTAATAATCATTTTGTAGGCCCTCTTTGTTAAGAGAAGGCTACTTATCAGGTTAAAGTGATTCAATCTATCTTCGATATCGTAATTAAGCCTTCACAACAAACGTCTCCACATATTGGAGTGAAACTCTCGTTGGCGACCTATTAGAAGAGCTTATAAAAAAACAAACATGACACCTTTATCGAGTCTTTCTGGTACTCCCTCTGATGTAATTGATATCGAGGATACGTCATTGTGGGAGGTTTCATTAAACCCATAATAAAAAATAAATTTGATTTTGCTTGGGTGTTGAATACGGATGCTATTGTAAGTAATTTCTTGTATATTCTCTTAGGGCAGGGTTCAATTTAATTTGGACCGCTCATCTCAAGTATATGCTACGAGGATCTTTTCACGAGACATCTTTGTATCCATCCTTTTGTAGTTCTTGGTATTTGTCCAATTTACTTTTTTTCTTCTCTCGCTCTACTTTTTTTTTTAGTAGATGTTGTTCTAGAATGGAAATTAAAAGGGGCAAACACAAAAGAAAATCCAACAAAAAGGGCGCATCACTCTGAGAGTTTGACCTTATTCCTCGAAATAAATCAAATCTTATTTCACCCAAACTGGGTAGGGGCAAAATCTCCGATGACGTAATAATCAATTACTAAAACTATTATTTTGCAATTAGGAACCATTGTTAGGTAATAAATTTGACATTGTTTTTGATCGTAAAATGAAAATATCTTAGTTCTTACACAATCTAAATTTCAAGCAGAATATAAATATAACTAAATTTTAATTTTTAAAATATTTATTCTTAAATTCTAACATATATGAGCTATTCAACATCAAAATTAGAATTAAAAATAGGTATTAACATAATAATTTTTATGTCTTAAATGGCTATTTGTTATATTACTCAATTAAAATTAAATATTTTATCTCAAAAGCCATTCATTTTAATCAAATAAATTTTTAATATTTATTTCAAAATATTTAATTTTTTTAAAATCTAAAATGGAGTATCTTTTTATTTTAATGTCCCCCCCTATTATAAAATTCAAAAATTTCTTTTTTTTGATACACAATTCATAAAATATGTATTGCATTTTGATGCCTAACTCATAATTCTTATATATTCACATATATAATACTTAAACTTGGGCAGTTAGTATTACTTATATTTATTAAATAAATTATAATTTTTTTCAACGTCATTATTTCATTTAAACCAAAAAAATAACCACACTAATATCCATTTCAAACTCAAATGAAAAGTGTTGAGAAAATTTTTAAGAATATTAAATTATGCCCTTGATAAAAAAATAAAAAGACAAATTTGAATTTAATAATTGAGACATTATTATATTGCATAAATAAATAATTAAAATTTCATATATAAATGGAAAAAAGAAATAATTTTCTTTAGGTATAAATCGTGACTTCGCTGTTTGATTCGCAGCAGCCGATTCGCATGGCTTCGACGGCGGCGAAGAATAGAGAAAACCGAGCCGCAAGGTTGACGGTAGGCTGTAGCGCGGCAGATCGGTCGGCGCATTTTGCGCGCAGGGAAGCGGCGAGGGTTCTTCGGTGCGTGCTGCAAGGTGACGCCCGCCGCCGGGCGCCTGCCTCGATAAAGTCGCTAATATACAGCCCATCCGTCCGCAACAAGAAGGCTACTTTTGCACTTGTTTGCCAAACCCTAAAGTGTAAGAACTCTTAGATTGCATTCCATTACTGGATCGTTAGTTAATTTCATTCGCAACAGTGGAATTCGAATGTGCAAGCTTTCATGAATCCTATTATTTTATTAATTTCATTATATTCATTTGCAACAGTAATCTGTGAGGTATATGTTCTCGTTGGCCCCATTACTCTAGTTTTTTTTTTTTTTGAATTCCATTTGCAACTATCAATCCCTAAAATTTCAGCTTTCTTATATTCCACTGTTTTTTTTTTAAATTTTCAACTTAAACTTTATATTTCATTACTTTACCCCAGCATTTTCATTAGTTTCCTTTGCAACAGTCAAACTCTAATGTCAAAGCTCTCTTAGATATAATGGTGGGCTAGAAATTTTTCTTGAGGGGGCACAATCTTGCAATTGAATGTGTTGGGTTTGTGGAGCCGAAACACTCACACAGATGTCGAGTGCCTGGCGCTTAAGTGCCGGGTTGTGTGCGCTCAAGCGCCCAATTGGGCCCAACAGAGTGGAGGGGGCGCTTATGCCAATATGGTCCAATATAGTCCAAGTATGTTGAGATAGAAGACACTGGTGATTGGGAAGACTTAGAAAGAAGTGGAACCAAAATGAGCACTGAAAGTTCCTCGATCACCTGCTACAGAAGCAGAAGCCAGAAGATTCAACAGGGTGATACGACCCGTACACAAGTAATCTCCTTTGTTATACTATTTGCTATTAATTGATAGTGGTGAAATAGAATGCTTTGAGGATGCAATTCAAGTTGAATATTCAAGGGAGTAGGAGCGTGCCTTGGAAGAAGAAATGGATTCTTTAGAGTCAAATCGAACTTGGGATTTGACGGTACTACCAAATGACATAAGTGCATTACACAACAAGTTAGTTTACATGTTGAAAGAGGAGTCAGATGGTAGCAAACGATACAAGAAAAAACTTGTTGTGAAGGGTTTATTGTAGAAATGAGTGAATTATATAAAACTATTGTCCCCAATGGTTAAGATGACAACCGTTAGGGTTGTACTGAGTTTGGTAGTGGTGGAAGATCTATATTTGGAACAGATGAATGTGAAAACAACTTTCTTACATGGAGATATGGAGCAGGAGCTATGCATTGTGCAACCATTGGGTTACAATGCTTCAGACAAAGAAGGTTTGGTTTGCAGATTGAAGGAGAGTCTCTATGGCTTGAAGCAGACCCTTGATAGTGGTACATGAAGTGTCATTAAGACCACTATTGTTTTATCAAATGCTTCGGTAATTATTATATTTTTCTTCTTTTGTATGTGGTTGAAATGCTGATTGCTGGAGTAAATATGGAGATAATCAATGACTTAAAGAAACAATTATCCAGTGAGTTCAAGATGAAGGATTTAGGTCCAACCAGGAAGATTCTCGAGATGAGAATTAGTAGGGACAGGAGTGCAGGAATACTGAAATTGTCTCAGACAGAGTATGTCGAGAAGATCCTACAGATGTTCAACATGGGAGAGGCAAAATCAGTTTGCACCCTCTTAGAAATCACTATAAACTTTCTAAGGAGCCATCGCCTAACTCTGAAGTAGAGCAAACACAAATGGAGATCTTTTTATGCTTCATTAGTTGAAAGTTTAATGTATGCGATGATTTGCACAACACCAGATATTGCATATGCAGTGGAAGTGGTCAGCAAATACATGTGCAATCCAGACAGACATCATCGGGAGGTGGTAAAGTGGATTCTCGGGTACTTGAAGGGAACAATCGACAGAGCATTTTGTTATGGAAGTGCAGAGATCAGTCTATAGTGATTTGTAGATTCAGATCTGACAGGAGATGTGGATAGTAAGAGAAGTACAACGCGGTACATCCTTATATTGGGGAACACAACGGTGAGTTGGGTTTCCAAGTTGCAGAAGATCGTTGCACTTTCAACTACGGGGGCCAAATATATTACTATCACAAAGGCTAGCAAGGACTTGATTTGACTACAGAGTTTCATGGCAGAATTGGGTAAGGTGTAGGTGATCAAAAGCTTTACGGTGACAGTATGAGTGCGATTTCTCTTACTAAGAATGCAACTTTTCACACTAGGACGAAGCACATTCAATTGAATTTTCATTTTATTTGCTCTCTTCTATAAGATGTACAGTTTTTCTGGAGAAGATACACAACTCAGAAACATGCGGACATGTTGACGAAGGTGGTGACTATTGAGAAACGAAAACCACTCTTAGCTTCAGTTGGGTTTCATGAAGGTTGAGATGGGGGTAAGCCACACCACGGTATGTGAGCATGGTGGTGCAGGTACAGAGGAATTGTGCTGGGTGATATCGTCTCCAAGTGGGAGATTGCTGAATTTGTTGAGCCAAAGCACCCACACGGATGATCGAGTGCCCGACGCTTGAGCGTTGGGTTGTGGGCACTCACGCGCCCACTTGGGCACAACTCAGTGGAGGGGGTGCAATGCTCCTAGGCGGCCATTATTGGGCGCTTGCTCTAGTAAGCTTGGCACTTGGACACCAAATCTGTGCTCCTATGCTCTCGGAGCAGTTTTTTCACGATCTTTAGTTTAAGAGTCGAATTTTAGCGGCATAGAGGATGAGTTCCTCTGCTAGCTTTCTTTGACAGGTTTCTGGTGAAGGAGAGAAGTGTCAAAGAGGAGGATTTATGTGATTTCGACGTGCGTTTATCTCGTCAGATCGGAGCAGGAAGATTTTGGAGCGAGGTTTTGTAAGTTTCCTTGAGTTTGGAGAAGAAATTGAGCGTGTTCTCTGTAAACTCTCTGATTTTGATACCAGATATTTTCTGGTGGTGTAGCTCTTGGGTTTTTTCTCGTTCTTGGGTTTTTTCTGTTTAAGTTCTTATGCATTTTTTTGGTTTGTTTTGTCGTGTTTCTGTTTTTAAGTTTGTTTCGGTTTTCTCGAATCTATGCGATCCTATTTCGTGGTGTGATTTAGATTTCTAGTTGAGTCCAAGTCCCTGTGAGATATAAATGCGATTCTTCTGAGTTCTTTTCCCCAACAGAATGTATACCTTTAACTTTTCTGTTATAATTTAATAATTTGAGGATGTATATACTTAAATTTTAAATATTATCTATAAGTGTATTTATAATATTTATGTATATACTTGAGATTAAAATCTAAAAAGATAAAACTTTCAACTAAATGTTCCCCACCTCCCTACTAATCCGCCATTGCTTCGATACCATTACTTTTTTCCATTGTTCCATTAAGTTTCCGTTACAGTTAAACCCTAGATTCTGTTACTCAACCATATCGTTTAGCTTCATTTGTGAAAGTCAAACCCTGAAGTGTATACTAACTTTAGATCGCATTAGTCTACCATTCCATTAATTTTATTTGCATCAGTCAAAACCTAAACTGTAATCTCACTTAGGTTTCATTAATTTAATCAAGCATCCACTAATTTCACTTAGAGCCATGAAACCTAAAATGTAAGCTCTCTTGGATGTCTTTGCTTTGAGTTTTTATTAATTTTGTTTGGAGCAATCAAATTTCAAGACATTGTACTTGCTTTTTTTTTTTTCTGTTTTTCCCACTCATACGCTCAAATGCACGCACGCTACATATGCAACACCTTAAATCCATGAACTCTTAGTTGAAAGACGAAGCTCTCATTCACTAGGTCAAGGTGGGTTGCATAATGATATTGCATTTGCCTGATCCCATAACTTAACCTCATGATTCCATTATTTTCTTTTGAAGTGGTCAAACACTTAAAATTTGAATGTTTTAGAGGTTGTTTGGTCTACAGAAAAAATAATGCATTGTAAAATGAATGTAATGTAGGAGTAATTTTATTGTATTTGAAATACTTTATAGTTGTTTGGTTTAATGTAAAATAATTGAACTTTATTTTTCATTATTTCGAAGTAAAATGAATATAATGTATTTTAAAAAGTAATACTTTGGTCGGTAATAAAGGTAGCTGGTGGGCGATGACGGTGGAGGTGGCAATGGTGGGTGGCGGCGGCGGCCAGTGGCAGCCAGCGATGGAGGGTGACAGACTGTGGTGATGACTGTGGCAGTGGCCAGAGGTAATTGCGGTCGGTTGTGGAGTGCGTTGGCCGCGACCAATGACATGCACCTAGCGGCATTGGGTGGCAAAGGTTGCCGGCTGCGGGGGATCACTTTACATTTTATTGTGAAATTGGAAATCGATCAAATCGGCCGAATTCCAAATATGGAGAAAATTTCTTATAGAATGTATGCAAAATTTGGTGTTATTTAGCGTCACATTCAAAATTCATGGAACCAAACATTTAAATTCTTGAAACCAATGTATTGTAAGTACAATGCACCTTTTTTTCTTTGGACCAGACAACCCCTTAGTCTTAGATACTTTTGAGTCTATGACTACGCTTGGGTATGACAATTATTTCATTTGTGATAATCAATCGTAAATTCTAAGCTTTGTCAGTTCCCATTACTTTCTTGGGCATTCCATTCATTTGATTTACAATGGCCAATTATTAAAGTGTAAGCAATCTTAGATCCCATTACTTTCCCCAACATCTTGTTTTCATCTGCATTATTTAAATTGTATTTCTTCCTCGAGCATTTAATTTATTTTAATTCATTCTAAAGTGTAAGCTCTATTTGATCCCTTACTTTGCTATATCATTCCATTAATTTCATTTGTAACATCTAGATCCCATAGTCAAGCTCTCTTAGATTTCATTACACGATTCTCTTAGTTCATTTGCAACATTTAATGTATAAAATATAAGCTTTTATAAATGTAATTATTTTACTTGATCATTAAACTAATTTTATCTGTAGTTATCAGACCCTAAAGTGCGTTATCTCTCAGATATTATTGCTTGTCTTGAACATGTGCATTAATTAGTTTTGCAACAATCAAACTGTAAAGCGAAAATTATGTTAGAGCCATTTTTTTAGCTCTACATTAATTTAAGGTGGAAAAGCCAAAAGTGCAATCTCTATTAGAACCCATTACTTTGCTGGATGATTCAATTAATTTATTTTGGTGAAAAGCCGTAAA